GACAGTAATGGAATCCGGCCTGCGTTCAGTTACAGGACTGGGACTGCGTTCTGTCCAGCATGCTACCTGGAACCAGTCAAGAAACCAGTCAAGAAACCACCCAAGGAGACCGGCAGCATCGCATGCTCTGCTCTCCACGGTTATTCGCTCTGATTGGCCTCTTGGATGCAATGGATATTTCATGAGCGTTTCAATGCTAGAGGAAGCCATAGTATCAATATTCCTTTAAAAGACTGAGGGGTTTGGCAAATTCGGATATCAGGAACCCCATGCCCTTGAATTGAGCACTACTTATACGGAGAGGACGGCGGTTACAGGTCGGGACGTTCATGCAATGCCGCATGGATGCACAATGGAGTGCCTGCAACAACAGGGGTCACGGGTTCGGTCGATGGGGGATGAAATGATGGTTAATTACCTCTATTACCTCCCTAGAGCGCCTGCAACCCACTGCGCGTCAGAGCCTAGTTGAGAAGCATGGGCAGTCCTCCAGAACGCACTTGCCGCGTTCACCAACCTCCGTGCCGAGGATCCCCGGCCTATCTTTTAACTAGAACCAACCCCTTATGCATGGTCGCGGTGCAACAAGCTATTGCCGTACGTAGTTGCAGTTTTACTGTAGTGGTTGCAATTCTGAACATTAGCGTTGGTACAGTCACATCTCACCACATTGAAGAATATGCGGCCGCCACGAAGGTCTTGGATCCGAAAAATGGCTGTGGATCTTGCAGGGTTCATACTGTAGCGACTTTCGAATCCGATTTGTGTGCGGGGTAAGCGTGGAGGCGGAACGAAATACCTTGTCACAAAAATCAGATCCCAAGAATGGATCCTTCCTTGCCTGCACAAGAAATGCTGAGTCTAGGTTCCTTCTTCGGTCGTATTGCAGGGCCGACTACCCTGCTGCCGGAGAGCCAATGGCGGATCCCCGACCGACGTGCTAAGCAACGGGAGCGAAAGAAAAGAAAATCCAAAGATCTCAAAGCTGTTCAGAAATGATGAATACTAGAGACAGCCCCTGTGGATATATTCAGTCCCGCTGCCAGTATTGTAGATGCATATCACTAGGTTGATCTTCTTTCGAAATCGAACAAACTTCGTCAATATACGAACGGTGATTTTCACTCCTCAAAATGTCTCCATCTCCTGATAATTTTCTCCTTTTTCCTATATTCTCTGCTGCTTTGGCTATCGCAGTTCTGGTTATAATCCCAAAATTGCGTCAGCAGTCTGAAGAAAGGTCCAACTCAGCACTTCCTGTTGAAAACTGTGAGCCACGGTCGTGTTTTGGAGATGATGATGAAGAACTTGAGCTGGAGTTTCTTCCATACGGCCTATGGATTATATACCCTCTACACGCATTATGCCTGGTGCTTCCTGCGCTGATATTCGGCGTCTTTTTGCTACACTTTGGAACCGAAAGATGGCTGTCATACATGCCAATTTGCGGCACATACTCGAACGGTTTGTCATCTGTAAGTGATTATCCGGTGTCGAGGCGGACTATTCCCTGAGCTTACCAAGACAGTTTCTGCTTGTGCTCCGTACCCTTCGTTGGCGGTATTGTAGAGAGGAATCGAAATTTGTAAAGGATATACTCACACAGCTGGCAACAACTGTCGCCGTTGTTACCCTGATGCTGGTACCAGGGACTGGATGCATGCTGTACCTTAGTCTCCAGCACACCGGGCTCCTCTCGGCTGCTTTATTGTCATTCCTGACCGTCTTTTTGGTTGGAGTTGGTTTCCAGCTCTACACACGAAGAGCTCAATATCTGCAGCCGGCAATCCAACTTCTTTTCTTTGCGTTGGTCTTTCTAATCCTCGACATTATCTTGCCACTAAAAGCTTTGAAGTCAGGTGATCAAAGAAACGTGGTAAGTACAACAAACACAGAGCAACAGACTGGCATCACTAACATCATGCCAGGCTGCATGGGTTCTGTCATTTATCCCGTCGTTCCTTGCAGTAGTCACGTGTGTCTATCGACTAGCCAAACCAGCTGAGAAAGAGAATGGTAAAAAGAATTCGTCTATCGACCACAAAGGTGACGCACCACACCACGCCGTTGTGACCAACGCGAATAACAAATCCTTCACAACACCAAGCAGTATGCAACCTACTGCGGCTGCAATTGAGATGGAAGATATGAGCATGGGCGGCAGGACTAATGTTCGACATCACGATTTACCGTTTGCATTTGTAGATACAACAAGAACTGTTTACCCATGTCGAGCGATTCGGAGCGCCGAGAAAACGGAACCTCGGGAGCTGGTATAGTCTAACTGGCCCGCGACGCCTGAGGCATTTAGTAAGTGAGTCAACAAGTTTGTTAAGAACCATATTGGGTCTCGTTAAATAGAAGAATGCGCCATTACCCACTAGTCGTGAAACAGGCATGAATAGATCTGGGTGTAGACTCACGGAATATCTCGCATGCAAAAAGTTCCGTATCCTGATACACCAGTGTTTGGGTGATTCTGTTCCGTCCTTTGGCCAGATTTCCCCTTCCGCGTCAAAGCTGTAAAGTAGATGCATGTAACGAAATATACCTTTAGATAACGCAAGGCCGTATTTGTAAAAATATAACAAAACAGGGTGGACAGGGTAGGCTAGACCGGATATAGTGGACAGAATTCATCAAGAGCTGGAGGCTTTTGAGATAAACAGGTTTGTCATCAGCGCTTACACACACACACCCTTTCCTGTGTTATTTAACAAGGTTGACCATGTTCTTCGCTGTCACATCTCGGCCGCCGCTCATCGTTTCCTGTTCAAAGGCCAGCTTCCTGGACTATAGAAGCAAACGCACAACATGCACCTCCAACAATACCGCCCAATGCTTTGTCTGAGGAATGCGATGATGAAATATTATACTAACCTGACCTTCGTCATCATACCTCTACCCTTCTGAAGGATTGATAAGCAAGTACGAACTTGAACCTTTTGTTGCTCTCTGCTTTACATGCTGTATTAGCATGATGGTATTGAAGTTGGGTGTGTGATTATCCGAGTGACTTCGATGCATGCCACCATAGTGATATCATGCCGCGATGGCCAACATGCAATAGTGCACAATCGCCCCCGTATTACACCCAAACTCTGTGTCTGGGGGTACACTGTACAACCGAGGAGGGAAGCAACTCAATGCATTCCACATCGCGTCATGGTACTCACCGTACGCTCCGCTTCTCCGTATTGCACGAGCTTGAGGACCGTTTCGTCAGCGATAACCAAGCGTAGGACTAGAAGATTGAATTGTAGAAAGAAGAACCCCTCGGGCGCCGGTTCACAACAATTGCCATAAACCAGGTACAGAAACGTAAGAAGCTCCAGCAGACCCTGCCTTGGGGGAAGTCCACTTCGTATAATCTGTCCTTTCTGGTCTACACAAAGTCGTTGACAAACCCGCATGCGGTGACATTGACTAACCCCAGGCATTCAGCGCTCTGCCGTTCATTGGCTATGGACCGCCAAGCGAAGGACTGGGGAGAGGGCTTCTACACTGGGCTGCGTCTCGTCTCGTCTCTCAGTGCTCCGCGCTCCTACGTGTGGAGACCAATCCTTCCGTACTCTTAGAAAGAGCCGGGGTGGCTCTGGCCTCACCAGGAAAA